TTCCATATGACAGTAATTAAGTTTCATTTAACCAATCTTTCTCCATATGGCAGCTTTAGGTCTGCGGGTATCAACTTAATTACGGTTCTTTGAAACTTTTACAACACCTTACTGTCTTTTTTAAGTATGGGATGGTTGCTTGCACGCAGTACTCAAGTTTGATTCAAAAGCATGCTGCATACCGAGTCAAAATGTCTTAGCAGTGACATGGTTAAAGGTTAAATTTAATAAAACCTACGTCAATTGTTAGCTTTTGATCTGTAGGAACACACTAATTTTAACGGGTTGCAAAAAGGTTTCTGAGACATGGATCATCTGTGTTAAGCAGTGCAGCTTCTCATAAAAAGTCGAACTTTCGTCCAGGAACTTGAAAAACTTCTTACGAATGATTTTCCTAAACAATTAATAACTGCACTTATCAGGGATTTGCAATGAAATTTGCTGCTTCCTTAAGTAATCTAGAGTGCGTATCATCGGATTCCACGGGTTTATCTGAATCAGGCTCATTTAAAAGACCAAGAAAATTGGATTTCATAATGGCGATATTCCCGAGAGGGTGCATGAAGCAGTTTATATGAATTGGAAAAAGAGGCACCTCTGTGGTATATGCATCTTCAAAGTAGTCCGAGAATAGCTGAGCTTTATCGTGACCGTCTTCCATCATAGATGTGGCACTACCGTCTCCCTTTAATTATGCTTCTTCCTTTAGGTTTATTTACGAGTGTAGGTGTTTCGGGTATTCTACAGATACCTATTAGTTTATCTTCAAACAATTTGATGAAACTGAGAAGCATTCAAGCCTTTCATAAAGAGGAAAAACAGAGGAGACCTTCATATAAAGTATCCTACTCTCCCATAATCATATTCAGGAAAATTTCAAGAAAATTGAGTTTTTGTTGGATGTTGTCAGATCGCGAAGGGCGCAAATTTGTCTTGAAGGCCATAGGCCTTGGTCGTGGTTGTTTTATTTAATATAAGGTAACTAAAAGACTAGATTGTCCGAGATAGTTTTATGTGTATTCAATGTACTTTGTTCAGCTTGTTTATTTTCTTGTCTCGACCTTTTTAGTTTTGTTTCTTCCTGTGACTTAGCTGCACTAATTGTCAGGAAATAATTAACAGATAACCCTCAATTAATTTAGTTTTTGTATTGTTACAACTAAACAAGAACGATGAAATGTGGGAGAATTTGAGGAAGTGCAATCTACACCTAGTTTCTCACCTGTCACAGTCTATTTAGGCTAAAAGTAGACCACGTTAATTTGGGCGAAAATGAGACCGTTTAGTGTAGACCACTTGGCAACCATGTAAGTGTAAATAGACAGGTGTATTGTCTCTCGTGAGACAATCATTGAAAATCTCAATATTGCCCAAGTTAAGCAAAAATTATTACATGTAGTTACAGTGTCACTTACTTTCATATCAAATGTTCCTAGCCGATGTCGCCTGTATTTCCTCAAAGTTTTCCTCTATTTTCCTAATTTTGTTTGACTTGGTTTTTGCGAGTTTCGTTATATTATTATTTCGTAGCCAGACCTGATAAAAGTAGGAAGCCGAATAATATGCTTCAGTCCTTACATTTACAGTAATGTGAATGATGCTGATACGACTTTCCTGTGTAGTGAATTCTTTTGGTTCGAAAAGTCACTCACTCAGTCAGTCGGTCAGCTACAGCGTAGAACTTCGTACGTAGGAACATCAGTCCAAGTTGCCATATCACGGTGGCACAAATGCAATTATCAATTCAAATCCTCAAGTGGTAGAGACAGCAGAATTATGAGCAGTAATCGGAGATTAGGATGTGAAGATATTATTCGAGAATTATAATCCAATGAAGTAGATTTGAAACAAGAAAGATGAATGTCATGGGGAGTTTAGATTAGAATATGGAAGAAGACAAAAAATGGATGCATCTGCTCCATCGCAAACGGTTTTGAGCCATGTCATTCAAGGTTTCTTACCATCGGTTACTATCGTCTCGTGGACCCCAACCAAGTAGTCTGCAACTGCCAACATGGCTCAGTCCAGTTGTCAGTGACTCCATCGATTTGGCCATGTTTTGGTTTAGCCGCTCCCAGCTTTCTTCTAACGTACTACTAAACCACAAAACATCGCTCGTCGATGCAGTCGGTGATTGGGCATACATGACACATGTCCCAACCACCTCAACTGATGAAGATTCACCACTTCATCAACGAATCCTCCATCCCTACCTAGTACTCATTTCCTAACAACTGCATTCCTTACTCGGCGGTCCCAGGATATACGAGCAGTGCATCGAAGACACCGATGATCAAATACTAATAGCCTACGGAGACCCTCTACTCTTACTGGCCATGTTTCACAGCCATAAAGTAGGACGGAGCGAACTGTTGCACAGTAAACCTGTCCTTTGGTTAGCAGATGGATACCTCGCCTACTTCATAAGTGATGCAAGTTGGCAAAAGTCAATGAAGCCTTCTGTATCCGTGCTGAGATTTCGTCAGCCAATAGTCCATCAGCACCGATGAGACTCCCAAGATAAGTGAAGCGGTCAACACGCTCAACTGCTTCACTTCCTATCACCACATCAAGTGGTGTCCGTCAGGGATGTCCACTTTCTCCATTCTTGTTTAATTTTATCATAGACATGCTCCTAGACATAACATTATCCTCGTCTGGATTTTCAGGAGTAGACCTTCTACCAGGTGGCTCGCTTCTTGACTTAGAATATACCGATGACATTGTCGTACTTGGTGAAGATGCTGACAAAATGCAGAGTCTTCTGACTACCCTAAGCAACAATGCAAGCATGTTCGACTGGCTTTTTCCATGTTGCGTCACTTATGGCGTAGGCGTGATATCCGTTCGCTAACCAAAGGACGAGTGTACTGTGCAGCAGTTCGCTCCGTTCTCCTATATGGCTGTGAAACATGGCCAGTGAGAGTAGAAGAGATTCGTAGGTTACTGGTTTTCGACCATAGGTGTCTTCGAAGCATTGCTCGTATACCGTGGGACAACCGAGTGAGCAATGCTGTCGTTAGGAAACGAGTACTAGGTAAGGATGGCAGATCAATAGATAAAGTGGTGAAACTTCATCAGTTGAGGTGGTTGGGACACGTGTTGCGTATGCCGAACCACCGACTGCCTCGACGATTTTTGTTTTGTAGTGTAGGAGTAGGTTGGAAGAAAGTTAGGGGCGGCCAAACCAAAACATGGCAGAAATCCATGAAGTCATTGACTAGTGGACTGAACCATGTCGGTAATTGTCGACTACCTGGTTGGGGTCCGCGAGATGATAATAATCGATGGTTAGAGACGTTGAATGACATGGCTCAAAATCGTTCGCAATGGCGCCGGTGTATTTATTCTTTGTGTTCTCTCAAATCCTAATCTTCTGGATTCTTCAACCCCTCTAGTTTTGACTCTCTAAACTTTTCTCACTGAATCATACTTCTTGAATAGTATCTTCTAATCCTAACCTCTCCGATTACTTCTAATTCCCTTACTACCTCTTCTACTATTGGATTTGAATTGACGATTACTTCTCTGTGCTGATGTGGTATGGCAACATGAACTGATGTACTTATGTACAAAGTTCTACGTTGCATCTGACTGACTGACTCACTGACTGACTGTCACTAGTTCAGGTGCCGACGAAAGCCAATCTTGAAGTAACGTTTTGAATTCCGGCGGGGAGAACCGCTTCCCCAACATACTAGCATTGTTGCGTAAGGCATTCAAAAGACTGAATTTTGTTAGTGTTCAGAATGTGTGATGCGACCATCCTTTTCCGAGATAGTCTCGCTAATATCTAGATTCCTAGTACCGGATTAACCCTGGTCTGAGCGACCTGGGAGCGTGACCGCAAAACCCAAGGGACAACTGCTTGAGGCTGGTTACTCACGGCATTTTTATGAGAAGTTAGTAACGTATTAGCTCCGCTCTTCAAATGGCCTAACCTCTGGAGACGGAAATACGTGAGTTGAGGTGTGTCATTTTTAGGGTCGAACGTTTGTAACCCCTTCCTTTTATCTGTTGTCAGCCCCTTCCTTGTGAGAAAGCAGCATCGCTGCAAACGCTGGTTGTCCGTAGCAAAAATCTTACTTTTATTACACCTCTCTACAGTCAGCAGTACAACTTCACCCTCAGACCTTGAGTTGCTGCTTTTGGTCTCACCTTTTTCCAATCGACCTGCCTGGCGTGGTAGAACCTACAAGAAGATGTGTTCCAGACAATATAGCTCGGTTGGATCATCACGATAGGTAAGCCTGACCACCACAATAAGGTAGCAGCTACCGTCGGTTCGCAAGTAGCCATACCCATATCCACCAAAACCATAACAATATATAGTTGACAATAAGTCCTCATCCACGTGCAAAGATTACCTAATCTAGTTGACTGAATCACATTACCATGACTACCAACCAAGACGTCTTAAGTAATACATATTTATGTGCTTAAACTACTCAATCTATTATTGACGGATCCATGCAACTCTACAATGAACCTAAGACTGAAAAGTATGCAAAATCATGTCATTCATTCCTAATTAAACGACGCAATCTCTGAGGAATTACTTTACAACCCAATGGAAAACGTAAGCATCTAAAGAAACCAAATAACCAAGTTGAAAAACCTGCTCTGCTGAAACTCAAAAAATAATCTTTTGAAGGATCCCTAATTGTTGTTTGCTAACTTCTGACTTATTTCAGTAGGGAAAATAACACTTGAGTAGGGTAGATTTATACAATGGCAATTGTTTTATTGAGGTAATGTTTTCACTGCTGTTTTTACATATCTTCAAGGTAGTAGTAGCACACTATTAACTGTTTAATAAAATTGTAAATGAAAGTCTTTTTTTTTTAACTTTACACTGACTAATTTTTATTTTTATTCATGACAAGAAATTTGATTGTAAACATCGTTCATATATGTTGATACCAATCATTGACATGCTATACTTTTAATCCAGCAAACCAAAAATACCACTAAATATCATCTTGGAATACAGATGAATAATGATATTTTTGGAAATATTCAATAGAGCTGTTGAAGAAATTCTTCTATATCGATTTGAGAATGCAAAAAATGGGTAGGAAATATATTTTCTTGACTTACCAATTATTCTAATCATCACGTATAGTTTAAAATTTGAAAAATTCAACCAAACAATAGCTGATTTTGATGGTGCTATTTATCATTTAAGAAGTGCTCCAAATGATCGATCAAAAATTATCGTCAGTATAACATTAAACTTTTTTCAAGAATTACAAGAGCATGGAGCAAATGAGGTTTGTTCATTCATTGCTTTATTATAAAAAAAAAAATCATTAGGTATTGCAAAGAGAATATGGCCAGTATTTATTAAATAAACCTGAAGATGGTTGCAGTGTCTCATTATTATATGATCTTGAACATTTACCAGAAAATTATACTTCCATAGCACAAAAAGCTGCATTATTGAAAAGAAATTGTTTTGCTGCTGTTTTTGAGAAATTTTTTGAATTTCATGCTTCAATGGGTGAAGAAGCTGTTGGTTGTAAAAAAGCTGTTATACATTATCGACCAAATGAAACACTGTAAGCTTTAGGTATTTACTGGTTAACTTTTTCTCATGTTACACAATCATATTATGTTAGGACTTAGTAAGACTTGTATCTATTTTCGAAAATAATATGACAATCAATTGTCAGAAATTTAAATTATCTACCATATAAATCCCAATTATACTACTAACCTATTCAAATAAAAGTAAATAGAGTGGTTTCAAATTCATCTTGCTTATTGATAATCAAGTGTTCGAATCAATAGGATGCAGATTTAATTAGTTCTGGTTCGTCTTGCAAAGATTCAAGGCTTAATGTTTTCTTATAGAAAGTATTAAGATAATATAGACACATCGAATATCTACTTATCTCGATCAGTAAGTAGATTTTGTGGTGTACATTTTCAAAACAATAACGAACTTAAAATAATTGTATGCATAAAAATCGTTGATCGATCAAGATATTTTACATAGAACAGGGATTCGGCTATCACAGTACTCAAATTTCATCTATTATATTATAGGTTTTCAACAACTTGATGTAATCACGTATAAAAAATGTAGTTAGAACCGAACACATAAACACCTGTGCCTGACCATAGGGTTACATTTATTACCGTCTTCAATAAACAATTACTATAACTGAGCAGACTTTAATCTGAAAAATTCAGGTTACTTATGTTACTCTGACAGTACCAATTTTCAATGCCTCTTATATCGTGTTAGTATCTGTGTGAACCTCTTCAAGTTGGAATTTTGACAAAATGTAACTACTAACCAATATACAATTGAAATTTTAGTTTATACGCTTAATTAATAAAATTGCTTTAATACTTTTGTTCTGTATATAGAGTTGTAGCTTAATACCAGTGTTGTCAACCAACCAACTCGTTGTAAGTCATAGTTTTGATCAGTGACATAGATTTCCACAAACTTAAATATCCTCAGTGCGAATAATTTCATTTCTGTTTATCGAAGTCTTTTAAATAAGAAGTTAGGAAGCTTATTTAGTGTTCCACTTAAAGGCGAATCGTTTTTCCTTCCGTCGCTACTGACTTTTAGCACTACTAACGAGTTCCACCTAGTAGACTGAAACTTGAATAGAGTTATCCAAAATATATTTGCAACTAATCTATTCTACCGCTACCCCCATTACATCTCTTTAATCGTAGTCATGTTAACTCACACAATAGCAAAAAAAGGAAATTAACCTTCTAAAAGAGAGCATTTAATGCCACTGTAAAAGGCAAAAACGTGAAGTAACTACTGTTCGGATAGTTTATATACAACCTTAGAAAATACAGAAATGTTAGGCAGCCAATAAGAGGACCGCAACGGTCATTAGGTGAAACAAATTTTTGGTTCGTGGAGGGAAAACGTTAAGTCCCTGACCCTTCACCTAGAAGAAGACGTAAGAGTTCAGCGCCAGTCTTAACGGCGTCCAACGTGTCTCTGCTGACACTCCGATGGTGAGTCGAGTGAAGTGAGTGATTCCCTTTTCCGTAACGATGGAGGACTAAGGCTGGTTGACCTCCTCATCTAGGAAAAGTACATGATATCCGGATACCAGTAACAACAGCGTAGGACTGCATACGCTTCTCCCAACCCGACCGTATCCGCGACCTTGATGTGGTGGTCGGGCTTGCATACTGTTATGATCCAATCGAGCCACATCAGTTGTAACACTTTTTCCTTTAGGTTCTACTATATTAGGCAAGTCGGCTGAAGGATGCTAATACTAAAAGCATCAACTCAGAGTTTGAGGGAAAAGTCATACTGCTGGTTATGGAGGAGTGTAACAGCTGTAAGGTGTTTCCATTTGACAACCAACACCTGAAGCAATGTTGCCTTTTCTTAACAGAAGGAAGGGGTTGGAAAAAGTTGACCCGAAAAATGTCACACTCCACCATCTCTTCTGTTATTTTCATCTTCTGATGCTAATCAGGTATTGTAACTTGGGTCAAGCACATCTGTGCCAGGCTCTATATTGATGATATCTGTCTGTTTCATAGCTAACTTTTGATATGCAAAAAACGGGAATCGAAATTATAAAATGAGAAAACAGGACTTAGACTAGTGACTTTCATGCCATCACATTGTTGTTTTACAAAGATTGTAGTGTTTCTCCCTCATTTAACATCGTCGCACTCTGTCTCATTTCCATGTGACTAACAACATCCATAATATCGAGTTTATTATCAAATTATCAAACGAATTGCTTACAAGCTCAACAGTGGTCTAGAAGCGCAAGACTGAAAGTCCTGGGTTGTAACTTCAATTTGTGTGAGTCCCACAATAGGGCGAAATGTCTGTCTAATGCATCCACATTTTCATGTTTTGCCTAAGTTATATGTGACAAATTATTCTTAGGGTTAAAATATGAACTACAAATCTGAATGTTGGTTTCTCCTTCTTCATGTTTCTCATTCACTATATGAGTCTTGTTTAAAAAGTTCCCAATATGTTTACATTTACACTTTTCAGTCCCTATTCTAAACACTAGTTAAACAGTTGTTGTTGCTTTTTTGCATTTGTAATAAAACTATCTGTGGATTATTTGTATGTATTATAAAATAATCCCTTTCATAAATAACCCTTAAGATTTCATGAATTTCCTGGAAGCTTTTTTTTGTTTGTTTGTTTGTGTGTCATTAAGCACTTAATGTTGAACTTATTGCGCCTTATTTAATCATCAATCTCCATTGACATTATAAACAAACAAAAAAATTAGATCGAAGACATTTTTTTAATGCATGATCTTCCAAGCACTTCATGTGTGTTTATATATGAGAAAAAGATTGATGCAATAAACATAAACAATTGTGTACTTGCTGATCAAACTAGAGATGGTACTTTGTTTAAAATATAAGTAACGTTTAAATGAGGATTTCGTTTATTTTTTGTTGCTGGTTGATCTCTCTCTCTCTTTTTAACCAAATCAGACAAGATGGTCAGCATGAATCAATATTGATGCAGAATTTATCTTGATAATTTTATCTCGTTGTACTAGCATGATAATGACAACTTGAACCGATGCAAATTATATATATATGTCAAGTTCCACGTTGCATATGACTGAAATCACTGAATACTAAATAACTATTCTCTCAAGCTGCATTACCTGTTAACATCGTATTAATTTTAAAATTGGAAACATTCATACAAGCATAACTGTTAAAAAATAATAATCACCATTGAAGAATATCACGAGTTGAACATGATTCGATGAGAAGTAATCAACAGGAGTTACGCGATTGATTCTCGACAGAGATAATATAAATAAGTCTTGAAAAACCTGTAGAAGTTGTCCTTTACTCAAATGTTTTGTTCAATTATGTTGTTTTCTTTTTTCTGGGGTTGTATAAATTACAAATTGTCTGAGGTTTTTTTTGTTTGTTTGTTTGTTAAAATCACTCTATCACTACTACTATCTTCCATGTAAGCTGCTGAATACACACATTATTGAGTTGAAACAAGTTGTTGATATTGAAGTAGTGCATCAACTGTTGTATTGAGGTGATATTCATTAAGGCTAATTCAGTCTAGATGAAGTAGGGAGAAAATTAATTTTAGATACCATTCAAACACATGTTTTCGAATTCTACCGGAGGGGCAGCATCAGCTCTGTCAAAATGACATACACCTTACTGACTAATAAGTACCATCTGGTATGAAACCTAAGTCAATCGGATTTTCATGTCGACCAACTTTGACCGTTTCACTTTCATATTTCATCAAAAGATAGCATGTGTGTATGTGTGCATCTACTGTCTTATTTATTTTTCGAGTACCACTATTAAACTATTTGTAGTTTATCATAGTAGTATTGTAGTAAACGAGAACACAGCTGGGGCAACCGGATTGTATTTAACGAAAATTACAAAGTTACTCAGTAAAATCGGAAAACCATATCGTAAATTGTTCATTTGCAAAAGATCAGTTCATCCTATCAAACTGGACTGTTCCTGTTGCAAAACATCAATCCAATGACACTGTTCATGCGTTTCATACAAATTCCATTGTGTTCTTCTAACTCTTCCTTTCTTGATCTTCCCCCATCTTCTGCTGCCAGACATTACGTTGACACTCACGTCATATACTACTTATAAATAGCTCACACCACAGTATGGTATGTATAGTTTCTCTCTAAATCGATTTAGATATTCTGATTATATGAAGTTAGCATTTTTGTTTAAATTTTTGCAATAAATGAAATCCATCTGACGAGTCCTGCATTACACTGCTAGCCACACCATCTATCTTAGCTTATAATCATAAGAAACAGTTATATCGTTCAAATTTAATAGAATTTATTCTTAAAAAAACTCTTCCATCATGTATGCGAATACATTAATGATGATAGACACTTTAATTTTTCAATAATTATATGATGTTGTATTTTCTATTTCTTATATATTCCTAGTCAAATTGTTGTAAGTTATAGGAGCGTGTTTATTTAAATGATGATCCATTATATTGTTTCACTTTTTCTTTTCTATTCAATAACAATTTATTCCATTAATCCTCATTCAGTTCAATTTTCAATAATGTTTGTTTTGATTTCACATTAAAAATATCAACATTATAAAACTGTTTTATCTAACAACAAATTATACTAACTGAATAATTAACATAAAGTTCATGGTGTCTCAATTTCTTTTATCGCTTGAAAGCGATATATTACTGATTATTTCACAAGTACTTAGGTTTCTAACCAATGCCATGTTTCTCTTACTCCTTTTCCCATCTTGATCCAAGTTGAAATGTAAGTTGTAATCTTACAGGAAGTATTTGTTCCGTGAATATATTAGGCACGCCCTACTAATGATGAGTGCCAACTAATTATGAAACCTAGGTTTAGGGTTTTCTATCGACTACCTTTCACAATATTACACTGTAATAAGAGTTTAGTACTGGGATATAAGCATATTATTTTTGTATTTCAGAATGTGATTAGAGAAATCATCAGTTCAGGTGGTTGGGTTATGTGTTGTTACGTATGCCCATCCATTCTTTGTGTTCTCTCGAACTCGA